CCGGCTGGCACCGTGGTACTAGTCAGTTTAGGGTCTTCTATTGTGTGCTTTCCCCACTTTTGGCTCTTTAGGTTCTTCACCTGTCCAAGTAAAATGGAGACTCTGGAAATGGGAGAAAGTCAGCTCCAGGACTCTCAAGGTAATCGTGTCTCCAGTCTCTCCTCCAGGGACTCTGGGCAGCTCTGTGACCCCTTCACCCTGGGATCCACTATTTCTGCGCCCATTCTGCTCTCGCTGGCTGGCGCGGTGGGTTTACCCCTGCCCTTGCCAATCTGTGCACTACCTCGTAGGCCCCATGGGCGCCGATCTACAGGAGGCCTTGCCAGCCCATGCAGGTCCACACACACGCTCGTCAACCCTTGCAGGCTACTTGGCGCAAGTGTGCGTGCGTGCATTGGGTGGTTTTGGTCTGTCTATTGTGTGCTTTTCGGCTTTTGGCTCTTTGGGGGTGTGGCCTGTTCCCGCACAATGGAGACTACTGCAAGGAGAAGGAGTCGGGACTCCCCGGTTCCTCCTCTCATTCTTTCCCCAGCACCTCTGTCTCCAGTCTCTCCTCAGGGGTCACTAGGCAGTTCTGTGACCCCTTTGACCAGGAATCCACTATTTCTGAAGACCGCGTTGTAAATGCGGGCCATTTGTCTCATGCACGCCCTGCTTCTGCCTCTTTGGGGGTGCTTCCTCCCAGCTCAAAATGGACACTATCGAATGGGGAGGGAGTCGGATATCCCCAATTCCTCCTCCTGTTCTTTCCCCAATGCCTCTGTCTCCAGTCTCTCCTCAAGGCTCTCTATGCAGCTGTGTGACCCCTTTGGTCACGGATCCTCTATTTCTTCCAGCTTGTCAATACTTAACCCCCCATCTCACACATGCATAAGCTGTGTGTTGAGCGCACAAAAAGCAGGTTAACTGATTCTCTTATGCCTGATTGTGATGGTAGCTGCAGAGTGGGAGGTGAGTTATCACCCGGGCTTTGCCAGCCTCCATCAAACATCGTTTTTCTCACCAGTCTTTTCCCAGGCACCAGTCCACTCTGCTGCCTCCTCTACCCAGAGATCAAGGAGGGCGGCTGCCAGTGTAAATTTTTGTGTTGGCCCTTTAAATGTCTCTTTGCATCCCCAGCTGCCTGTCTCTGACAGAGAGCACCCCTAAACTTTTTGGGGTTGCGTTTTGTCTGTGTGTTTTCCTGGTTTTAGTTGCTGTAGTCTAGGGGTCCCTGTTTATGGTTCAGACCCTGTTCTTCTCAGGAGAATCCAACTGGCCATTTCAATGTCCCTCTGGTGCTGGTGTCTGTGGGTGCCCAGCCCACCCTCTCTAGGCTCCACCGCACTTCTCACCCGTTGGGATGTGTGAGAGTTGAATCCACTGTCTGTCCGCGGCTACAAGGCTCCTCTCTCTCTATAGTTCCATTGTTTTCCAGGTGATTTCTCTACTATTTAGTCCCAATTCCACTTTGGTCTTGGGAGGAGGTCAGCGTGACTCCCATTCACTCCTCCATCATCTTCCTCCAATTATATATCTTCTTAGGTGAAGTTCTTTAAAAACGCAGTCCTTCCCTTGGTACTGATCATTTCTTAAGGTCCTACATTTCTCTGTGGGTTATGGCCTCCTCCGTCTCAGTCTGATTATTTTCGTTCTTCCACTCACTCTATGTTTTGTATGCTGTTGTTTGTCCAGTTCTTGAAGCTGGAGGGTTAGGTTGTTTATTTGAGATGTTTCTGTTTTTTCTTTCTTTTTTTTCTTTTTTTCTATAGGCCTGTATTGCTATGCACTGCCCTCTCAGGGCTGCCTTCAGCATGTCTTATAGGTTTTGGATTGTTTTGTGCTTATTTTCATTTGTTACCAGAAATTTTTATATTTCTTCTTTGATCTCATTATTGCCCCATTCATTGTTATTATCATGCTATTCTGTCACCATGAGTTTGAATGTTTTTGAGTTTTTTCCTTCAGATTGGTTTCTAGCTTCAAGCACTTGTGGTCTGAGAAAATGCTTGTTATGATTTTGATTTTCCTGAATTTTTTGAGGCTGGTTTTGTGTCCTATCATGTGGTCTATCTTTGAAAATATTCTGTGTGCCTTCGATAAGAATGTGTATTTTGCTTCTTTTGGATGAAAGGTTGTAATATATGTCAGTTATGTCCATTTGATCTAATATACCATTCATTTCCACAATATCATTGTTTATGTTTTGTTTCGAAGATCTAACCTTTGTTGACAGTGGGATGTTAAATTCCCTTCCTATCAGTATTACTGTCTACATCTTTCTTTAAGTCCTGCAAGATTTTTCTTATATATTTGGGTTTCTCTATGTTGGCCTCATATAGATTTATACAGTTTAGGTCTTTTTGATGGATTTTTCCTTTGAATATTATCAACAGTCCTCCTGAGTCTCTGTTTATGGCCTTTCTTTTGAAACTTATTTTTGACTGACATAAGTATTGCTACCCCTTCTCTTTTTCCCTGTCCATTAGTTTACAATATTTTTTTCCATCCTTTTACTATCAGTATGTGTAGGTCCTTTGTTCTGAGGTGGGTCTCTTGTATGCAGCATATGTGGAGATCATGTTTTCTTATCCATTTTGCTATCCTATGTCTTTATATTGGGACATTTAATCCATTTACATGTAAGGTTATTATTGATAGGTACTTATTCATTTTTTCCCTTTTTACCTGTGAACAGCTCTTTCTCACTCTTTTTCTTCATTTTATTAACGAGTCCCTTTAATGTATCTTGTAGTGCTGGTCTGGTAGAGGTGTATTCTTTTAGTCTCCTTTTGTTTGGGAAATTCCTAACTTCACCTTCCATTTGAATCAAGAGCCTTGCTCGGTAGAGTAGTATTGACTACAGGTCCTTACTTTTCATTACCTGGTTTCTTGTCATTCCCTCCTGGCTTGTAGTGTTTTTCTTGAGAAGTCAGCTTCTTGCCATATTGGGGCATTGTTTCATGGTACTAACCCTTTCTCCCTTGCTGTCTATAGGATTCTCTGTTCGTCTTTGATATTTGCCATTTTAATGATGATGTGTCTTGAAGTGGGCCTCACTGGGTTCCTCTTGAATGGCACCCTCTTTGCTTCCTGGACTTGTGTGAGTTTTTCTCTCCTCAAATTAGGGAATTTTTCCATCATTACTTTTTCAAATATGTTCTCTATCCCTCGTTCCTCTTCTTCTTGTATCCATTTTATACAGATATTATTACCTTTCAGGTTGTTTTGCATTTCCCTAAACACTTCTTCATTCTTTTGAGTCTTTTTTTCATTTTCTTGGTCTTTCTAGGAGTTTTTTCCTACCTTGTCCTCCAGGTCACTAATTAGATCCTCTGCTTCATTGAGCCATCTTTTGATCCCTTCTACTGCATTCTTCAATTCAGAATTTGTATTCTTCATTTCCACTTGCCTCTTATTGATAGTTTCCATGTCATTTTTTATGCTGATATAGTTTTCAGGAAGTTCTTCATAGTTTCCCTGTAGTTTTTGGTAATTTTCTTTGAGCTCAGTGAGTTTCCTTAGAACAGTTGATTTGAACTCAATATCTGATACTTTTCTCACCTCTATTTCATTTAGTTCTCTTTTTGGGATTCCTCCTTTCCTTTCTATAGGGGTGTGTTTCTTTTCCTTCACACTTTTTTATGAGACTTTCATTTTTTGCTTTTGCTTCTTACATTGGTATGTCTTGACTTCCTGATTTTGTGGTGTGAATTTTATGGTAAGATACAGCTTTTTCTTTTTTCTTTCTGGGTCTGCCTCTGATGCTGTAAGCTCTTTACCCCATCTGACCTTACACAGTTTTTAATAAAGTTCTAGGAATCTCCCATTTGTGCCAGTCTCCTCCAGTTGTTAATCTAGTCACTCTGCCTTCAGCAGTCATAGTGGTGCAGATTCCTTCCTGTGAGCGGGGCTATTTTTCCTTTTCACACTGCTGCTGCTCCCGGGCAGTGTTCCACCTGAGCATGATGGCTAATGCTGTATGTGGGAGGAATCAGCACCAGGATAACCTCCGCTACTCTCTCACTACTCTCTCCAGTACCTCTGTCACCCTTCTCTCCTCGAGCATTTATAGACCACTCTGCATCCCCTATAGGCAGGGATCTAATATCTGTGACTGTTGCTCTGTCCTCAGCACCCAGGCCTGTGTAACATCTGGCTGGGACCAAGCCTCTTGGGAGCATGGCTTTGTGTCCTTTCATGCTGCTGCTGCTTGGGGGAGTGGTCTGCCTGGCAAGATGGCAGCGGCAGAATGGGGTGTGAGTCAGCACCAGGACCCTGCCGTCCACTTTCTCAATTCTTTCCCCAAAGCTTCCTTCCCCAGTCTCTACTCAGGCAGCTCCAGACCACTCTGCTCCTGCCTCCACCGGAGTCCAGGGTAAGTGGCTGCCACTACAAATTTTTGTGTTGGCCCTTTAAATGGCTCCTTGTGTTTCCAGTCACCTGTCTCAAGCAGAGAGCAACCCTGCCACTTTTCATATCTGGCTGTTATCTCTGTTTTTTGGGCTCTGGTGCTGTAAGCTGGAAATCCACACTTATAGTTTAGACCCTGCTTTTCTCAGAGGAATCTAACTGTCCATTCAATATCCCTCTGGCGTTGCCTCCTGTGAGTGCCTATTCCACCATCTTGAGCCTTTACTGTATTCCTTACCAGTTAGGTTGTACCAAAGCTGATTCCTCTGTCTGTCTGATGTTTTAAAGCTCCTATCTTTCTATTGGTCAGGGTTTTTTTTTTTTTTTATGTGATTTCACAATTTAGTTACAGTTCCAGATTACTCCTGGGAGGAGGTCATTGTGACCTCCACTCACTCCTCCACCATCTTGATTTCTCCACCATTTTTTTTCAAACAGGTGTTCTATCCCTTGTTCATCTGATTCTCCTTTTGTAATCCCTATTTTACTTATAGTTTACAATTCATGTTTTCTTGTAGACCCTACTTCATTCTTTTTGGTTCTTTTTTCTCTTTCTTGCTCTTCCTGAGAATTTTTTTCTACCTTGTTCTCCTGTTTGCTGATTTGATAAAAATATGGAATGATTCATGTGTTCTGTGTGTCATCCTTTCTCAAGGGCCATGCTAATCTTCTCTGCATCATTCTAATTTTAATATATTTGTTGCTGAAGCAATCACTGTACCACAGTCTTTGATCCACTCATCTAGTAATGGGCGCTTAGGCTGTTTCCAATACTAGACTATTGTAAACAGCGCTGCTATGAACCTAGGGGTCCATATGTTCTTTTGAGTTGGTGTTTGGGGTTTATTAGGGTATATTCCAAACAGTGGAATTCCTGGGGCAAAAGACAGTTTCATTTCCAGTTTTTTGAGGAGATTCCATATTATTTTCTACAATGGCTGCCATAGTCTTCATTCCCACCAACAGTGCACTAGGTTGTTCTTTTCTACACATGCTTGCCAGCATTTGTTGATTGTTGATTCATTATCATCATCCTGACAGGTGTGAGGTTATATCTCATTGTGGTTTTAATTTGCATCTCTCTGATGGCTAGTAATTTTTAGCATTTTTCATATGTTTATGGGATATCTGCATGTCCTTTTATAAAAAGATTTTTCATTTATATATTTATTTTTAAAGAGGCAAGGAGGGAGAAAGGAAGGGAGAGAATCATCAATATGTGGTCAACTTTTGCACACCCCCTAAAGGGGCCCTGGCATGCACCCAGGCATGTGCCCTGTTTGGGGATCAAACTGGCAAGCCTCTGGTTTGCAGGCTGGTGCTCAATGCAGTGAGCCACACCAGCCAGGGCTGCATGTCCTTCTTGAAGAAATTTCTGTTCAGATCCTTACCCTGTTTTTTAAATTGGATTGTTTGTCTTCCTGATGTTGACAAATACCAAATAGACTTTCAAAGCATGTAGGCCCTAAAACAACCATTAGCTGTCCATTTGTAGGGTCTGAGAGTTAGGAAAAAGATCTGGTTGAATCGACAAGTGGGAGAGTAAGAAGATAAAGATGTGAAGCAGATTGTTATTGACTATACTCGGGCTTGTGTGTGTTCCTTTTAGTAGGTTACAGAGGTGAACCAAACTAATGTAAAAGACCAGGGGCGGAGACAGAAACACCACTGCAGGATAATAGAAAACAATTCAATTGTGTGCTCTCCCTGGGTGACTCTTCTGGCTCTTAGCTTCTTTACAAGAAAATTGGACTCAAGTCCATAGTCCTAGAATTTATTCTATGTATTCTGGTCCAGAAAATGTTTCACAGCTGTAAAAAGTCTTACACAGTGTCAGAAGCTGGGTAAACTCCTTTACAGCACTGCCCATCTGCCACATTTCATGCCCAGTCAGCCTTTGGCATCTTGGCAGAAGGTTCTCAAGAGGGTGCCATTTGTGCTGGTGATTTGATCCCACCCAGTGGTAATACTTTCTGATGATGACCCTTCTGACCCATATTGATAATGTTGTCTAATGGTACAATAATATATTCATGCAAGCCCTGTTGTCCCCAATATCATTACTATATATATGCTATTTCAATGCTATCTCCAACATAAGTTCAACTTTAGTTTTTTCTCTCTCCTCTTTTCTTCTCACTTTTGCTCTTCCTTACTTCAACTCTTCCAGAAGTCTTACTCTTCTCACTCCTGTTTTCTTTCCCTATCCTTCATATGACATAAACTTGATTCAACACTAGGTACCCAGGATATTTCTAAGCTCTCTCTCTTGCTTTAATGTTGATCCTGGGGGTAAAAGAAGCTATTCTGTGTGTTCAGTTGCTTTGTACTCCACAGTGAAGGCATTATGATATTATATAAAGTTAAAATTATATCACAGCAATGTATGGAAAGTTGAGTGTGCATGCATATGCCTGTGTGTCTGGGTTTGTGTGTATTGTTTATCAGTGCTTTTGTGAGACTTTGTCCAATAGTTCAAATCCTGAGGCTTTTCATTCTGTAAAAGGGTTAAATTAGAAAGGGCAAAGGATCGTAACTACAAATGTTATTCTTAATTGTTATAGTTATAATTAGCAGTATTTGTCAGGTTTGCTTTTTTAGACATAGTCATTTTAAGACATTAAAAGAAATTATCATCCAATATTTGCAAACTCATCAAATCATTTTTGTTACTTTACAAGAGATGAAACTGCTGCTGTTCAGGGTATCTTCAGTCTATATTAAACACTGAGTACTTATTCTGTGTCTAATCAGGTGCTGTGAAAGATTAAAAAAAAAAGGAGTAAGATAAAACCCAAACCCTTAAAAGAGTTTGGTTAGCAAAATATAGGTACATGTACTTTCTTTGTTATTTCTAATTAATTTATTTATTTTTAAAAATGTTTATTCTATTACAGTCGACTCAATTTTTCCCCCTTTGTCCTCCTCCATGCATCCCACCCCATCCCCTGCTTCTATAGTCAATTCCCACTCTGTTGTCCATGTCCATGGGTCATTCATACATGTTCTTTGTTCAGTCCCCTTCTCCTTCTTTCCACCATCGTCCTCCTTCCTCATCCCCTCTGGTCAATTTCAGCCTGCTACATGTTTCCATGTTTGTGGTTTATTATGTTCATTAGTTTATTTTGTTGAATAGATTCCACTTATAGGAGAGATCATATGGTATTTGTCTTTCAACAACTGGCTTATTTCACTTAGCATAATATTCTCCAGTTCTATCCATGTTTTCTCAATAGGTAGGAGTTCTTTCTTTCTTTTTAAAATACAGACTGATTTTATTTATTTTTTAAGTGTCAAAATCCATTATAAAATATTTAAAAATTTAAATCCATTATAAAGTCTAAACAATTAAAACAACATGACACCAGCACAGAAATAATAATGTATATGAATGAAATAAAATGAGCATTCTTGAAACAAACATATATATCTGCATAACAATGTAATAAATGACTAAATTGATATTTCAAATCAATGGAGAAAATAAGGCATATTCAACAAATAAGGTACATGGACCACTATTACTAGAAATAGAACAAAATATATAGAGCCCTATTTCACACATTATACAAAAATATTCAGGTGAGTTAAAAATCAGTATATAGAATCTAAGGAGTTTTAGGAGAAAATACAAAATATTTTTCTTAAACTGATATCAAATATTCAAAACCAGAAGCTACAAAGTAAAATATTGATGATATGACTATATTAAACATTCAAAACTATACAGTAATATACATATAAAAAAGTTAAAGGACAAGAAATAGAATAGGGAAATGTGCAACACATCTACAAAAGCGCTAAGAGTTGTTCGGTTCTTTTTTTTTTAGGGAATAATTTTTACAAACATTTAGTCAAAAAATGGATAAAGAATACCAAAAAGTCATTTAAAATTTTTATAATAATAATAATAATATAAATAGGCAAGAAATATACAAAAACAGATTTAGTTTCAACAAATAATAAAGTAACAATTACAATAACACATCATTGTCACAATCAGATTAATATGTATTAAAAATATTAGTAATATAAAGTATTGGTGACTGAGAAAGGAACCGGGTTTTCATAGACTCTTTTTCTTCATCTTCTTAAAGCAGTCCCTTTAGCATATCTTGTATATCTGATTTGGTGGAGGTGTGTTCTTTCAGCCTTCTTTTGTCTGGGAAACTCCTTATTTTGCTTTCCATTTTAATTGAAAGCCTTGCTGGGCAGAGCAGTCCTGGTTGCAGGCCTTTATTTTTCGTGACAGAATATTTCTTGCTATTCCCTTCTAGTCTGTGGTGTTTCTGTAGAGAAGCCAACTGCTGACCATACAGAGGCTCCTTTATATGTTGCTACCTGTTTCTCCCTTGCTTCCTTTAAGATTCTCTGTTTGTCTTTGATATTTGCCATTTTAATTATGATGTGATTTGGAGTGGGCCTCATTGGGTTCCTCTTGAATATGACCCTCTGTCCTTCCAGGAACTTTGTGTCTTTTTCTGTCCTCCAATTAGAGAAGTCTTCCATCATTACTTTTTCAAACAGGTTCTCTATCCCTTCCTCTTCTTTTCCTGATATCCCTATTATATGGATATCATTACATTTCAGGTTGTCCTGCATTTCCCTAAATGCCTCTTCATTCTTTTTTAGTCTTTTTTTCATTTTTTTGTTCTTTCTGGAACCTTTTTTCTACCTTATCCTCCAGCTCACTGATTCGGTCCTCAGCTTCATCTAGCCTGCTTTTGATTCCTTCTACTGTGTTCTTCCATTCAGAAATTTTATTCTTCATATCCTTATGTCTCTTGTTGATAGTTTCTATGTGCTTTTGCATGCTGATATAGTTTGCAGTAAGTTCCTCCTAGTTTACCCATAGTTCTTGGTAATTCTTTCTGAGCTCACCCAGCTCATTGAGATTCCTTAGAAACATTGTTTAGAACTCAATATCTAATAGTTTACTTGCCTCTATTTCATTTAGCTCTCTTTCTGGGGATTCTTCCTTTCCCTTCAATTGCGGAGGTGTTTCTCTGTCTTCCCATTATTTGTGAGACTCTTCTTTTTTGCTTCTGCTTCTTAAATTAATCTTGATTTCCTGACTTTGTGGTATGAACTTCTACAGTTGGAGACCGCTGTTTTTTTTTCTTTCTTGATCTGTCTCTGATTATTTCAGATGTTGACCCTGTCTGATATTAGGCAGTCTGTTTGAGACTTCCAAGAATCTTCCTGCCTGTGACTCTTTCCTTCAGTTATTAATCTAGTCACTCTGCACTCAGCAGTCAGGCTTAGACACTAAAAGGCGAAGCAGAGTCCCTCATGGGGGTGGTGTTATTCGGACTTCTCATTGCTGTTGCCACTCAGGGGAGGATTCTGCCTGAGCCAGAGGGCTGTTGCCATATGGGGTTGTAGTCTGCACTGGGATCCCGCCAGCTACTCTCTCCATTCTCTTCCCAAAACCTCTGTCTCCAGTTTAAGTGTCTCTAGACCACTCTGTGTCCCCTTTAACCAGGTATCTACTATCTTTGACTGCCACTCTGTACTCAGCTGCCAGGTTTTAGCTCCATCGGGCAGGGCAGAGTCCCTCCTGGGGCGGAGCTATTGTGTTGTCTCATGCTGGTGCCACTCAGGGACATGGTCGGCCTGAGCACGATGGCTGCTGCTGTTTGGGGGATGAGTCAGCACTGGGATCCCATCCACTACTCTCTCTTTTCTCTCCCCAAAGCCTCCTTTCCCAGT